TTGCTTGGGCGTTGCTAGGTTTGATCCCAGCTGCAGGTGACTGGGCAGCAGACCGCCTAGTGCTGGTTTCGACAGTGGTTTCGAGAGTCAACTGTTCAGGAAGCAATGGCAAACTACTGCAGGTACATTTGCCTAGAAAAAGCACAACAGCCAAAAAATGTGGAGGTTGGTTTTGCAACATTCTGTAAAGAATAAGCAAATTTCTTTTTTTTGTTTTTTAATCTACCAAATGAGCTCACTGAAAGATTTACCTTTGAGAACAACCACATATTTCAGACTTGTAACAGTATATTATTCACCAACTGTGATAACATAACATATGTCTGGAAATAAAAAGCTGATTACATTTATAAACAGTGACGACCTCAAAATGTCTTTAAAATATAACCTGGTTAAAATAATCAAGTGTGAAAACATAAAAATCAAACTGTCTAAGATTCAAATTTTGGTTCCTTAATAATATCCTACCCCAGATGATGCCTCAGGACAGTCCAACATTTTAGAGGGTGGTAAGACTGGGTTTCCCCGCTTTCTGATGCTTTTAACGACCCCAAAACATCTAGAACAGGGCCTAATCCTAACCCACCTTTGCCCCATGAGAGAGTGCAGCCTAGGTCCCATGACTGCATGCAGCCTAGGTCCCATGACTACATGTGGCCTATCTATCACCCCCTGAAATATTAGTCTGTCCCGTGACCTGTAGATATCCCCTGTATGTGGTAGGATATTAATATATCACTCACATTTTTTCTTCTTGTAAAAATCATCTTATGTGTTGATTTCGACTCTCCAGGCTGCTAGGCAAGGCTTAAGTCATCCTTGCCACTAAAACAGTTGCAACCCTAGATGGCAAACCTGCAGGAAAAATCCCAGATCCCTATTCAAAGTCCAAGAAATTACCTTTTCTTCTTTTGTTCGCTTCAATTAGATTGCCTACAAGTTGCAACGTTGACAAACAAATTATAATTAGAGAACCCGTAATGGTTACACTATGTACTTCCCTGGTGTACTCTGCAATTTTATGCAGGTAAGGAAAAACTTACATACAGCACATACACATTTTGATTAACACACAGATATATATATATATTTTTATAAAGTTAACAACAATGGCGACTGCAGAAAAGAAGTCAGTGACAGCCTCCTTTCAATAATACTCAGAGACTAAACAGCAAGAAGAAACTATGGCACAGTACCTGCAAGCCAGTTAAAGTAAAAAAAAAACCAATCTATGGAGATCATGTATTTTTCCCATTGGCAACTTATGGATGGGAGTCAGGACCTCCTACTCGGTAACTGAAGGCAACAATTGAAGCCTTTGAAATAAAATGCTACAATACAATTCTTAGAATACCATGTACCAAGAACACACAAACAAAACACTGAGATCCTGCATAATCTAAGTATCGAGGATGGAGAACTGGCTTAACAACAGCATCCTGTCCTGAAAGTTGAGGTATTTTGGCCGTGGTAAATGTCACAGTGGCCTGGAGAGAATAGTGATGGAGGGGACAGTATTTAGAAATGAGGCAGAGGCAGACCTAGGCCAAGGTGGATAAGGACACTGAAGATGTACTGGCTATGAAAGCATATAGGGCTTGAGAATGTGTGACAGAGATAGAGAGAGAGTGGGGAGGGGGGGGGGGAGGGAGAGTTTCACACATGCCTGGAAGAGAGTCATGTTCTGTAAAGGACCTGCTCATTGATTTTATATTTATATTTATGTGTGTGTGTGTGTGTGTGTATATACAACATATAGTTGTGTGTGCATACACACACACACACACATATGGATGTGAGTTGTGGACTATCTCCCAATACTGAAGAAAGAGAATAGGGGCTTTTGAGCTGAAAGATACTCAGAATTTCTTGGACAAAGAAGAGGAGAAATACTGACATTTTGAAAGATCTGAACATCAAAGAAGATTGGCTAATAAACAGCATCCTGTCTAGGAAGCTAAAATATTTTGGTCATATCAAGTGTCACAACGGACTAGAAATTTTGTTAGCAGAATGCATAGTACCAGGAAGGAGGGGCAGGAGCTGACCCACATGAAGATGGGCACAGGAGCTGTGACTCCCTGGAGTATGAAAGTACATGAGGCGGGAGAGCTGGTGAGAGACCAAGTTTCTTTCAGGCAGACCGTGATGAGAGCGACATTCTGCAAAGGACCTGCTACATGATGATACACATACATATATATATGTTTACATTTTTTATTCTTTTGTCAACCTCTGCTTTGTGCCACAGTTTAACAGACGACAGGTAGCCAAGCCAGGGAACGCTCAACTGCTTGGTATGCTGTTGTCAAGTCTTAGCTTGCCAGTGATTCCTTCAATCCAGTTTATTCTCTCTCTACCTCTCGGTTGTTCTATTTTCATACTGCAAGTTCTTGCTTCTAGCATCATCGGATTATGTATGTATGTATGTATGTATGTATGTATGTATGTATGTATGTATGTATGTATGTATGTATGTATGTATGTATGTATGTATGTATATGTATATATGTATGTATGTATGCATGTATGTATACCTGTGTGTATGTAGTTGTATACACACACACACATATACATATGCACATATATACATATATCAATAAATATATAGTACATGGGGGTGGGTGAGGCTTTGGAGAAAAATGTGATGACTGGGAAATCAATGGTAGAAGAAGGAGAGGCGGACCAAGAGAGATGTTGATGGATGGACTGCGATGGTGGCACTGAGAGCTATCATCGTAGAACCGATCCAAAGGACAGGGGGCCGAGATCTGTGGAGATGCATGTATCCGTATACCAGTCAGCAGAGCACGTGATGGTGATGATGATGACGATGTACATAATTAGCTCTGTATAAATAACTTTTTAAAAACAATTCTTGTTCCAAAAAAAACAAACTAATGCCTGCTAGCAAACCCCAGTTATAAACTCTTTAAAGTTGAGCAGAGTAATCTGTACATGTGAAAAAACAAAAAAAGTAATATTTTAAATTACATACTCTAGCTTTTCTTACATGTTTGATTTGCTAAATTACAACTTCTTCTTCTGCCTTTCTACCCCCCCAGTGGAGCCTAGGCCCGCAACCAACTCATGCCAAGTTGTTCTTTTCTTCACTATTACATGGAGCTCTCCTAATGTTCTTCCCATCTTTCTAACTTCATTTTCAAGCTCTCTTCTCAATGTGTTTTTTGGCCTTCCTTTTTTTTAATGCTCCTGTAGGTTCAAATGCAGAGGCATTCTAGTTATGCTGTTCTTCTGTTTTCTCAGTGTGTGTCCTATCCAATGCCAGCGTCTTTTCCTTACCTCTCGGTCCAGTAGAGCCTGTTTAGTTCTCTTCCAAGGCTCTACATTAGTTATTCTATCATACTATTTAATCCCTTCTATATTGAGCAGGCAGAATTACAACTGCTGTAAAACTACAACTCAAGTGAACGAAAGACAATATCTTAAAAATGCAAATGGCACTTATGATGTATGCTTGTGTGCACATACACATTTAACCACTTAAATGTTAGTTATCCTGTGCAATTTTCTTTAAAAAAAAACTTGTAAATGGTAAGGTATTGGAAAATACAGCTCTCGGGCAGAAGTTATTGTATGAATGAATCAAGACATGACATAAAGCACTTGGCTTATTCTCAAATGTACTCTGGAAAGGTCACGGGTAGTGAGCATAATTTGGATCTTTTCTCCAGGCTACGCCGGCATAGTGGGTAACGAAAAGGTAGACAGATTGGCTGGATCTGCACCACTGGGTGGTGAATTAATACAAGGCAGCTGTGGTCAAGGCCCTGTGGAAACAAGCAACGTAATCAGTAGAAAAACAAAATTATTATGGCCTGGGGAGAACGAGGCACCAGGGTGTAACCAAAGAGTCTGGCTGGCTCAGACTACACTCAGAGAAAAGGCAAGACAGACATATAACCGGATTGTGGCTGGTACTATCAATGTTGGAACTCTGCGCTGGCTGCTGAAGATGAGGACAGAGCAAGCATGGGAATGCCCCGAGTGCTGTGATGTAAATTCCTGACTCAACTGTACTCTGTCCCAGTGGCACGGGGTGCATGTAGAGGCGGTAATTATAACTCCCACTTCCCATTGAAAAGATACATGAATTATTTTACTATTTATTATTGCTGATTACTATTTATTTTAAAAAACCCACTCAGTTTACCAGCCCCTAAAGCTTGTTTAGAGTATTACCACAGCAAAAAGATTTCTTCGTTTATGGTTTATTCAACGGATCAACGTCATAGCATGCGGGTATAACCCATAAGAGCTCAGTTTTACTTCTAACTCAAGCCTGAGTCTGAAGAATCTCAGCGCAGTGCACAAACTCCGTCTTTCCTTCAAAGTTAGTGTGCATGTGCCTGAGGAGTGAGGAACCAATAATCTGCATACAAATAAGCTAAATTTGTTTTTTTTTTAAATCACTCAAGTTCTGGAACAAGACATAAGTGGATGAACAACTAGAACTTTCCACCAATGTTTGTGGTAAATGAAGAAAAACTTTCAAACATAATACTAAAACAAAAAAAGCAAAAACACACATGTGTCCTTGATTGGATTTTAGGGCCATATTCTAGGGGTAAACAAGAACAGACCCTATTGCCCTTTAACTAGCAAGCATGTCATACAAAGTGGCTTAATGCAAGAATGCTCAAAGGTGGATGTTAGGGTCAAAAAAGCACATATATCAGAGTCTAGCTGTAAACCACAACAAAACATGGCAACTGCCCTTTTAAGGGGAAATGCAGAAAAAGAAGAAGAAGAAGAAGACCACATCAAGAAGAACTATCAGCATCCTGTGCTAAAAGCAAAGGAATCTGAGAACAACGAAGCTTGGACTCAACCTCGGTAGCATTGCTGTTTCTGGCTAAAAAACAAGAATATTGCAGCCTAGCTGAAAATACAACAAAACAAAACAGGGAACCTGATCTTTTAAGGATGGATGTAGAAAAAAGAAGATGAAGAAGAAGAAGAAAAAGAAGAAGATCACATCAAGAAGAACTATCAGCATCCTGTGCCAGAAGCAAAGGAATCTTAGAACCACTGAGCTTGGAGGGCACCTCGGTCGCATTCCCGTTTCGGTTACTCTTCATTTCAGCTGACTCTACAACACCCTGATGTTGATCCACAATATTCGAGTACTCTCCCAGCTTTGTGTTTTTGTTGGAGCACAAAATCTTGCTGGCGCCAGCCACAAACACACCTCCCACAAGAACGATGAAGATGGCACTGAAAATATCTGCAAAACAAATGACAGAAGACATAACTATTATTAATGCTGATATTAGGAATTGATCAGATTTGTCCTCTTCAGGCAGATACCTAAAGGTTTATCAAACCATTCTGAGATTTGAAACAACATCTCAATGTGGGCGGCAGATCTTAGAAACCCTGTTCATCCTCTAAAGATGTTACAATTAGGGAACACGTGGCGGTGACACCAGCTAGGTGTAAACGGGGGGGGGGGGGGGGGGGGGGGGGGGGGGGGGGGGGGGGGGGGGGGGAGGGGGGGGGGGGGGGGGGGGGGGGGGGGGGGGGGGGGGGGGGGGGGGGGGGGGGGGGGGGCTGAGTGCTAGAGGCTCCAGGTTCAAACCCTGGCAAGGGCTGGGATTTTTTCACGTGGACTTCTAGTAATTTTCTCTGGTGTCTGGGTAGTATGAGAACGGACGCCCGTATGTGTTGTTGCACATGTAAAAAAAATCCCTTGGCAATTGGAAATCGGAAAACAGTAGCCTAATGGCACTGTCAGATTCCATGCAGGATGAATTTTTTGTTATTTTGATGCCAACCCGGGTGTGGGGGTGGAGAGGCTCATATGACCTGACGGTTAAACGAGGTTTCCGGGACCTGTCCCCAGTGATTCTCATCCGAATGGGGGCACTTTATGTCACCGGGTGTTTATCGCTGGATGGATGTCCTGGTGTGGTAAAAAGTCAGTCAGTCAGTTTTGTTTTGTGCTACAATACATACTGATGTAAGTCTGTAGTAATGTACTGACAGAAAACAGCGAACTATGCCTGGCAAAAAAGTATGAAATGCATTGTCTGGACCTGTATTATTTAAATTCAAGACAATAAAACATTATTTTATAAATTTTATAAACCAACTGGCAACTAATGGGTGACGTGGTCAGAATCACCACAGTGACCTTTACTTCCCAAGAAAGTTCCTGCCGCCATTTTGAGACTGGGTCAACCTAAGAGCCATGGACAATTTTGGGAAGAAAGAAACACAACTCTCTCAACAGAGACTTCAACCCTAGACCTATGGGCCAGAAAGACAGCAACCAACCACTATGTCTCAGCATAAGAAAATTGGGCCAAAGTATAGATATCTGCCTGCTTTGTCTCATGTAGCAATTGACCTTACCTAAACCCTAATGACTTGTAATCAGTATGGGACAAAGATATGACCTACCACTTGTGCATGTTTAGTGCATGCTACATAGATTGTAAGCATTCAGATAAGGATTGTTGTGCTATTATAAAATCACACTGCTTATAGGAAAGATTTTTTTTAAAATTCTCATTTCCTGTTTTACAAATGAAGACTATTTTGTGCAATCTTTCTCTGTCAATTTAGATGAAAAATAGAATTCTCAAGAGGTAACAAATTCTGCGTTTACATCCATTTTACTGGCCTAATAGTGTGTAGCTGGTTGTTCCTTGCACTTTGACTTCAAAGGAACCCCCAGTTAGTCAACTACTATGACATGCTTGTTGGGGAGACTGTGGGTCTATTCTTGTTTTCCCAACAATGGGGCCTAGAACCCACACAGGAAATGCTGGTTAGATATGCAGGACTCAGGACTGAAACTGTGTATGTAAATGGAGAGAGAGAGAGAGAGAGAGAGAGAGAGAGAGAGAGAGAGAGAGAGAGAGAGAGAGAGAGAGAGAGAGAGAGAGAGAGAGAGAGAGAGAGAGAGAGAGAGAGTGAGAGAGAGAGAGAGAGAGAGAGAGAGAGTCTATGACACACTCAAGAAAATATACCCAGGACATACGTGTCATCAATTATTTAAGTCAATGCAGAAATCCATGAATACGAACAAATACAGTGCAGACCTGATAAGGAGAACTCCCTGAGGACCCAAGAAAAGGTTCTTCTTATCAGAAATTCATCTTATCCTGATAAGTGTTCAAGCAAGAAACATTGCAGGGGATAAACAAATTGTTTTTCACAACGGAAATTCATCACGTCCCAGATCGCCTTTAGCGGCTGCACTGTATTACCACTCATTTTGATTACCAAGACATGCCAGTTTCGAAGAGACCTCTTCTTTTGCATTCACCCTCAAAAGGGTGGAAGCCATGCTGTATTGTGGTTTACAGCTAGGCTGTGATATCTGTGCCTTTTCGCCAAACATGTCCAATGTCCGTAAAACCCTAATTTGTCTTTTGGCCCAGGTCACCTGATTTAAGCAAGTCCTTAATTATTCGCCTTTTACTACCTACCTGCTGATAAAATGCAGTGTGCCGATTCTCTCCCCCTCCAATGAGGCCTGAGAACCCAAATGGGGAATGCTGACATCTTTCTGTTTTTCTTCCAGACGATAATGTATGAGGTGGCATGGGACTCACTGGCCATGGTGGGGGCGATCGTGTCAAGCAAGAGTTCCCTACATTCCAAGACCAATTAAGGCAAAGGATGAAGTTCCTTCCCTCCATCGCACACAGCCTGGGCAGTATTGTAGAGATCCGATGTTGCCCATGCATCAAGATCCCTCTCTTCTGGCCTGCCCAATTTACTCCAGGAAAGGATAATCCAGTATGTTTCTACAAAGCACACTGCAAAAAGGTGCCAGATCAGAAAAGCAGTGCTCTATCTGTCTGCCTGTCAAAGCTTCCCTTAAAAAACAGCTGCCAACCAAAGCTAAGGACCTGGTCTGCCCTGTTATAAGACTAGACACCTCCTCTGTCCCCTCCCTCCCCCCCTCAATACGCCCCTCTGACTGAAGCCACTGGCACAATATGGGATGCCAGGTCTTGTATATGCTACCCAATATTTGGCGTTAACAGAAGACAGGCAGTACCGGCTACTGTTATATGGTAGCTCAGTCATATCTGACGAAGAACTGACATATGAGGAGTGATGATGGTGATAGTGATGATGAAATGTCATACTTATACTCACATGTGGTAATTAATATTCTATAATCTTCTGCAGCCATCACCAACAACTCCGAGACCACCGCCAGGCTACCGTTGTTTGAGGCTGGGGTCAGTCCCAACAAATGGCACATCAAAGGGTAGACATCAACATTGTCAAAGGTATCCACTGAAAAATTATGCTTGAATGATGGACCCATGGCCAGAAAAAATGGGTGCATGTCTTGAAGTGTGTTGTCATAGCCATGATCACCCTCTATGATGATAAACAAACAATGAAAACAACAAATCTGAATTTGTTACCATTATAATAAGAGCAGGTATTACAGCAGCTTTCTTGAAGCTTAATCTCAGAAGGCTTAGGTCACTGGGTCACACCTGGAGAATGGAGGATGGTGGAGTCACTAAAGACATCCTCTATGGTCAATTACAGCTGGGTAGAAAATGTTGAGGACGAAATCTACTACAATGTAAAGATGTGTGCAAGTGGGACATGACTGATACATGTATCAACGTGGATTTGTGGGAACAAAATGACATGGACTATGTTGAGTGAAGGAGACACATCAGGAAGGGAATGAGATTGAAAGAAGAAATGATTGCATTGAGTGTCTGAGAAGAAACAGACTAAACACAAATGATTGTAACAATGGTCCTGAAACCCCCTGCTATAATTGTGGAAAACTTTTCTTAACGTGGGCGGGTCTTGCTAGTCACACTCGCCATCACTATGACCTGTGAATCCCATGCCTCCTCAAAGCACAATATAGGACTATCGTCTGGAAAGACAGAAAGGTGTCAACAACCATTACAATATCTCTAACCATCTTTACATCCCAGGACATTTTGTAGCACCTATGTTTTACCACAGTTGAGGATTAAAGCTGAATCACCGTCTTACTAGTCAAACACTCTCAGATTACACTTCTTCTTCTTAGAGAATCACCGTCAGTAAACTCCAGTCGACAGTTCTAGTTATTCATCTACTTCTAAACTCTTGTTTTGTTCCAGAACTTGAGTTTTGTGTGCACACCTATTTTACAGATCTGGCATATTTTTTGGCAAACTGTTGGTTCCTTGCCTCTCAGGCAGATGCACTGCAAAAAAGAAACACCCCGATTAGGGATAGTTTAAAACATGATTGTTGGGGGAAGGGATTAGGGGGTCTACTCCCCCAAAATGAGACCCCAGAACCAAATAAGATCACATGACACACACAAAAAGCACAAAAGAGACAAGAAACACTGAAAATCAACATTATACCGTGCAAAAAAGGAGCATATAGAACTCTCTCCACAATGCTAGCATGATGACAATATTATGTTAGATCCATATTTTTAGAGCGACTGATCTCATGGAGGAGACCCGGTTTCAAACCCTTAGCACGATTGGGGATTTATTTATAGTGGGGGGGGGGGGGGGGGGAGAGTATAAATATAAAACTGGAACCTGCACAGTCCATGGCAACAGCACCAGCCATGCAGCCCTAAATATTTAGGCTCAAAATCACCCTCCCCCCCCCATCTACATCGCAAAAAGTGGTTAGTTAAAACAGGCAGTAATGCTATACTGGTACTCAATGGGTTCATTGCTCGTTAAGAGATCATCTTCATCACACATGGAACATGATCATAAGTGCTCTTATCTCCTCCTGAGTATGCCTCCAAGTATTTTTAGGCTAACAACTCCCATTCTGTTCTGGCTGATGTAACGACAGCTGGCTTCTGCATGGTTTTCCTCACATTTCCAATTTGTATACCTAGGGTATACAGTCTATTCAGTGAAAAATCATTTTCCACGAAAGTGAAAGTCTCACAGTGTTTAGTCTCTCGTATGGCAGTGATAATGTCTATCTTGTCTACATATAGCCCACTCCTGATAGTCGCACTTCCGGCCAGGGTGTCTGCTCTCTCACTGCCTTTCACACCCTGGGACAAAAATGAAGGTGATTTTGTGAAACCCTGCATGCTGTGACAGATGGAGCCACTGTTTCAATGAGTAATGTTGTCAACATCATACTGTCTTTACTTCCCAGGATATTCTTTGATACTCATTTTAGGCTGGGTTGACTTAAGTGCTCTTGATAAATAATACAAACTCACTTTCATGTGGATTTGAACAAAAGACCGGTTTGGAGGGTAAGCAATCTACTGAGGCTCGATAATGCAATAAGCCAGAACAGAAAACCAAAAGCTACTCAGTTAAGCACATTTAGCAAATGTAGCTAAGGATGGCTGCTAAATTGGAGGACTGAGCATGCTTTGGAATGACCAGTCTGTAGTTACACTGACTGCCGTAACATAACAAGGGTTCTCAATAATCACAAACTGTCATTACTGTCTGTTTTACCACTTTTATGACGGTGTAGCCGGGGGTGGGGGGGGGGGGGGGGGGGACTGGAGCTTGATGATTTAGGGCTGTCTTGCTAGTGCTGTCGCCATGGACTGTGCAGATAAGAATTTATAAATTTTTTCTCAGCAGAAAAACTCTATCGCCTTACCGGGTGGCAAACCCGGGTCGCAAGAGTCCAATGTTGTAACTGCTCAGCCAGTGGCTGCACCTCAAAAAGCATTTAAATTAGATACTAGAATAAATAAAAACTGAGGAAAAGGAACCATTTTGCTTTGTAAAGAGAATCTGGAGAAACTTTTCAGGGAAAGCAGATTCTGGGGAAAATGAAAGAGAATCACCAGAGTCTAGACGAGTTACTGATTTACTGATTTCAGAAACAACATCACAGCATACCGGGCATACCCATAAATGCTCTGTCTCCAGCAGCAAATCTCAAGATGCTGATACTGACTGTTCCATAAAAATCACTCTGGCTGGACACATCATTCTCCTCTCATACCTCCTTTCTTGCCAGACCCACCCACAGCGGATAGATGAATTAAGATTACACAACAATGAAATCTGAGACAGTTAAACTTACTCTCCCATTGCTGACATACTCCTGTGCAAAATGAGAATGTATCAGCAGCAACAGCCACAACTGGAGATATACGTCTATTGTTTGTGTAATGGAAATGCGCAGGCACTTCTTCTCGTTTGTAAACAGTAAAGTTACCATGAATTTTTGCCCCTGCAGTCAAATTTTGATAAATCTCCTCTAATTTTCCTGAAAGAAATATGAAAACATATTGGTTTATTGAATAATACTGCATGTGTATGGCCAGCTTCTTACGACTGACTGCTTCCCGCAATGAGAAACTTGCAATTCTGGTGGCAACTGTTGGTGTTGGCATCTTTAGCAGCTGCTTAATGCATTTACTCCTTGTGCATGTTTTTTGGAGCATAAAATCATTCAATGGAAAAATGGAAGATAGAAGAAATAAGATAAATCAAATCACTGGACAAACTGTCACCAGTATTTTTCTTCTTCTTCAGCATTTTGAGCCCTTGAGGTTCATTGCTGCAGATATCACCCGCCTCCATTCATCTCTCAGGTTGGCCTTCTCTTTCCAGTTGGTGACATTATCTCTCCACCGACCTCTTGGTCTTGGTCCGCCTCTTGGTCTATGACCATTCATCTGCTTTGTGTAAACAATTTTTACTTCTCTGTCAACTGACATTCTTTCAATATGCCCAAACCATTTCAGTCTATTAGCTCTCATGATGATAATGATCAGAGGTGATTTAAACAGATTATGAATTTTGTTGTTGCTTCTTACTCTAAATTTCCCCGTTGTTCGCATCTTTGATGGGTCCAAAGATTTGTCGTAAGAGTTTTCGAAAACCTGTAATAAGGCTTCACCAATATTGGAGAACAAATATGAAACAACTGACATCAAAACAGCTCTATTCAATACAGTAGTTTTGCCAGTATTACGTCACCAGTGCCAAACATGGACATTAACAACAGGAAAAAAAAAAGAGAAATTGAAACAACAGGTTGTATCTTATATGGTTTGGGTTGTGAACTGCAGATAACAGAATATGGCTAGTTGCCTGTTGCTAGAAAACTTATGGTGCCTTACATGTTTAACTGTGTGTGCAACTGCTGTTTCGATCCACAGTGAACTGAATTTCTAGTGCCAGACTGTCTGTGTTGGCACTTCTTACAGCTGCCTTATGTATTTAATATATGTGTATGTTTTTATTAAACTGCGGTCAGTCAACTTTTTTTCACAAGGGACAGGACTGGGCATTTTATGTGGTTTTAGCTGGCACAGAAACAGAACAACTATAGGGTAATCCATTTCCTGCCATTAACTAATTACATGTTAAAGGTTAAAGTCGAGAAGGTAAACTTTATTATTATTTTATCCCATATGGCTCGATCGCTGAGCAGAACAGCTAGCTGCCTGCTGAGAACATCGCACGCAGCACGAACCCTGCCGAGAACATCGCACACAGCACAAACTTTGCAGCTCTGGTGATAATCCCCAGGGATCTCCATAAAAATTGCACTCGTGAACTCAGTGACGCAGCCATAAAATGAACCCACAACCTTCAGAGCCTAAAGCAAACAGCTTGACCAATTCGGCAAGGAGGAACCCACCAACACCCTATGGATTACCTGCTGACTTAACCCTCTAGCATAGTGTTTATAAATGAAGAAATAGATAACTTTCTTCAAAGAAAAGATGTTAGGGAAAGAAATCAGTTCAGTATTTGTAAGTTGTAGCAATGTATCTTTAAGCCTTACACTTAATATCCCATGAGTTTACCATTATTTTACAAAAGACTTATAAATAGTCCTATTTTAAACAAGATATAGCGTTATGTTATCAAAGATTTACAAGTAAACACATATTCTTCTCCTTATAGTCCATGCTGTGTGGTTTGGTAGTCATGTCTATCCACAGTCATGTCTATCCACAAAAGTCTTCTTCTTCTTCTTTCGTTGACTTAAAATAAATTATCTATATCTGCAATCTTGTCTAGTATGAACTTCACTGTCTTTTGTAATTCATGCATCGACTCGTAAAGTTTGACTTGCACCGATGTTTCTCTTGGCCAAAAGTTTTGCCTTGATATGCTGTATCTGGGACAGTCTTAGAGGACATGATCTGCTGTCTCAGGTGCCAATCCACAAGTGCACATGGCTGATTCGCCGATTTTAAATTTTGTGAACATGTAGCTGCAAAGTCGACTGTGTCCTGTTCTAAGGCGTAGAATAATAACTTGCTCTGGTCTGTCCATAAAATGGTAATCGTCTTGTGCCAGTTTTGGTGGCTTTCTAATTGATTTGAAATTTCTCTTCTTTTGCGGATAAGAGACAGGTAAGTCAGGTTGTTCTTCAGTTGCACTTTACTTAGCTAGTTTATCAGCTCTTTCATTTCTGGAAACTCCACAGTGGGATGGTATCCATTGCCACAACCTTCTGTCTTGTGTACTTTCAATCACTACTGACACAGATGATCTTCCATGCCATGATGTCAAACTGTCCAGGGTCCTTTCTCTCAGTCTCTTTTTTCCATCCAACTTTCCCACTGTCGCGATATACTTCAGTTTTCCTCTTCTCATGACATGACCAGAGAATGTAGATTGTCTACTTCTGATGTCAGCAATCAGGTGTCTTCATGACTCAGTTTCTTTCAAAACATCTTTAATACTCCTTTTATATATCCAGATAGTTCTCATCATTCATCAATGAAACAGCTGCAAAAAAACACAAGACACTAGATGTATTACGCTGTTATTTCACTAAAGATTTACAATCAGTAGAAAATCAAAAAAGGTTATTAAATATTTAGGCACTCTTCTGAATACTGGTCCCAAATTATTCCTTGTTAAAAAATACCATTCAGGGCCTCAAAATGTCATTGGATCCAAACCCAGGAGTCTTCGGTAGTACAGTTGTAAGTATTACGCCTGTCATGCAGGTGACAATAATTTTATTTAGCACTTAAAAGGGCGGTTGTCACATTGTTTTGTGGTTTAAATCTAGGCTGTGATATCTGCAACTTTCGCTCAGTCTTGTGGTTTACAGATAGGCTGCAATATCTGCGCCTTTCGCTCCCAACACATCCTATTTCAGCATAGTCCTAATTAGTCGCATTTTACATCATGCTTTTTAGGCAGCAGGTGGATCTATTCTCCCCCCCCCCCCCCCCCCCTAAACATGTGTTCCTGGTAGTCTGATCTGGTAGTCTTAGTTTCAGCTTCATAGCAAACAGGTCACCCCATCTTTGCTCCGCTCCTGTGCCAGCGAAAAACACACAGAATGTTTATCACAGTCCCTTGTGGAAAGATTGACAAACTGCTGTCTCAGCACATCTAGCATACACACGCATTAAAGCATACGGTAGTCATCCGAAGTGCTAACACAAACAGTTCGACATTAGAAATGCAGTTTATCATTGATGGTAGCAGAAGTCACCAACAGATCAGCAGTTGCCCACGCGATCAATTGTAATCACATACGGGCACCACCAACATTGCGACGACAGGCATCGCACCATTTTCTGAATCTACAATTCACACTACAACGTTGGTCACAGTCGAAAAAACATTCTAAATGAAATCCGCAGCTCACAGTGTCACACCATGCATTCAATTCATAAGCTGGGTGACGAAACTATATCCAGTCTACAAATGGAGAAAAAATGCATCAGCCACCGTCCGGCAGAAGCAAAAAAATTGCCTCGCCTCCAAACAGTGCCCCTGCCTAACGTCCATTTTGACCAGAACCCACAAGGGTAGTTACGGGTTATGTGAACAATGGATCAAAAACTATTACTTCCCATGGCACTTTATTGGATTGAAAACTACTCCTCCCCATGCAGCTTGAACAATGGGTAAAAATATATTCCTCCCGTCGGCCCTTAGCTTAACGCCTAAACATTGCTATCCATGCTATCCATCGATCAATAACGGCAGAAGTGGAAACTGATGATGATGGCCTTAATGTTTTTACTACAAAATCTCTTGATTCTCTCAAAGATTTTGCAGTGAATAATTTGGGACTGGTATTTGGAAGAGTGCCACTAATTAGCTAAATGTTTACAAGTGGCCATAAAACACAATCATTACCTTCATTGGGCCATATAGTGGCGATGGGTGAAAGATTTGGAATAGTGTACGATTCTGGATCTAAAAAATGATCCAAGTTAATCATATTCTCAACAGGTGTATTTGTGAACCCATGATCACTGGTGATAATTATGTTCATGCTATCCAACAACCCCTTCTCCTCCAGCCGTTTCAGCAGATACCCCACAACTTCATCAAGCCCTCCGATCATTCCAGTAACTTGCGGTGAATCAGGCCCATAAGCATGCCCAAATCCATCAGGTTGATCGAAGTAAATCATCCCCAGATTTATAGGATATTCATCGGTAAACCACTCTACCAGCGTGTCTATTTTAGTTTCATTTGTCACACTTTTACTGAAAGGAACGTATCTTGATGGCTTCACCCACTTAATTGGTGCACCTCCACCAACCCACATTATAACCCCACTTCTACCATTTAAAGTCTGAAGCTGGTTCGTCACCCATATGGGCTCGGCCCCTACATTAAACCAGGCTGGATCATTCATTGCGGATATATTACTAGACGTGAATGTCTGATTAAGAACAGGGTCGTACATAACGTTAGCGACTATTCCATGATTCTCTTCCCAAAGTCCTGTAGCTAGAGTGAAATGGTTCGGGAAAGTTTTCGTCACAAAGGCATTTCGAAGACCGTGACGAGCTGTAACACCATATTTTAAAAATTTATCGAAGTTTGGAGTGCTGGTCCTGGATAAATAATCCCACCTGAATCCATCAAATGAGATGACAATTAAGGGACGACTGTCGTGGCTTGTCGCGAAATTCTTTGGCTTGCCCCAAATTGCTTTAGCTCGGGTACCATCAAACGTTACAACACCGATTAAAATCGCGAAGAAATACACTGAATATAAATCGAAAAGCTTCGGCAGCATTGTTTTATGCACAGTTTAAGATGAAAGACAAGTGAAAAAAGGAAGAATGAAATAAGAATTGGTTTGCTAAGTCTGCACAATAATCCATGTACAAAACAAACTGCCGGATCTGTTGACAAGGGTCGTCTGACTGAGAGCTATTAGAGTGTTGTCCCTTGGCTACGGGGATCAACAAGCAAAACAATCATGATTACACGCACCGTTCTGCTAGCTTTTTATTGTTATTTCTCTTTCACGTCTCTCTCTCTCTCTCTCTCTCTCTCTCTCTCTCTCTCTCTCTCTCTCTCTCTCTCTTCTCTCTCTCTCTCTCTCTCTTTCTCTCTCTCTCTTTCTCTCTCTCTCTTTCTCTCTCTCTATCAATCTGTCTGTCTGTCTGTCTGTCTGTCTGTCTGTCTGTCTGTCTGTCTGTCTGTCTGTCTGTCTGTCTGTTTGTCCATCCGTCCCTCCATCCATCCAGCAATTCTTCTGTATCTCTCTTTATTTCCCCTATCTCTCTTTCAATGCCATCCTACAATTCTAATATTATAACACTATTCACTCTCTCTCTCTCTCGTCTTTCTCTCTCTCACTCGTCTCTCTCTGTCTTTCTCTGTCTCTGTCTCTCTGTGTCTATGTCTCTCTCTGTCTTTTTCTCTCTATATATCTGTCTCATTGTGCGTGTCTCTCTCTATCTCTATCATAATCTCTGTCTGTCTGTCTCTATGTCTGTATGTCTGTCGCTCTCTCTCTCTCTCTCTCTCTCTCTCTCTCTGTGTCTCTCCTGTCTCTCTCTCACTAGTCTCTCTCTCCGTGTTTCTGTCTCTTTCAGTGTGTTAGTTTTTCTTGTCCTGCTCTAGCTTCGATCAACAAGCCAAACAATAATATAATATTCTTGCTTTTAAATCTCTCTCGTTCTCTGCCTGTCTCTCCCACCCCACGCCCCCACACCCCCCCCCCACGCCTCTTTTTTTTAAAAGCTTGAATTAGAAAGAAAAAAAAAACGTAAAGTTATTATATTAATATTTCTGCCTGCTTTCTACTGCTCTCGCTCCTCTCTCTCTCTCTCTCTCTCTCTCTCTGTCTCTCTCTCTCTCTCTCTCCCTCTCTCTCTCTCTCTCTCTCTCTCTCTCTCTCTCTCTTTCTCTCACACTCTTTAATACTGGATATTGACATTATGTACATTATTGCATAAACATAACATTTTTCACTCATTAAATACGGTTCATGTGGGAAATATAAGTATTTGGAAGGACCGAATGTAGGACGGGCCTGTGTGCCCCATGTGTAACTCTTTGAAAATATTTCCTTCGTTTGTTCGTTCTTTCTCAAGATCTTTTTACGCCAGTGGCGAATGAGGCATATGATGTGAGATTGTTATTGTTTTTTTTTTAAATTTTTTATAGACAATCAGCACTCGGTGGTTCAGCACCTGTTCAATCCATAGATTAGGTTATATTAGGGCTCCCAGCAAAAGCCGGAGTGGGGCTTCAAAATAACGTTAAATTAGGTCCCATATAGGGATGTGGTTATGTAGAAACTCACAGTTGACCTTGGCTATCAGGTCGAGCCAGCCTAAATTGGGCACCAAGTAATATCACTGGAAGTAAAGGCGGCCAGTGTGTTGCTGACCTCATCACCCATCGTGACAATATTGTTTTAGCAAAGCAACAACCATAAAATGTCGCGTACAGCCAGAAATAAAGCCCTGGGTGTAGCATCATATGCCCAAATAACCATTAACGTTAAAGAGGTCCTTTTTAATAACTTTCAGTATTCATTTGCAAGTAGCGTTGTGAGTCCGACTCGTAATTATAACGTACCACTGCTGGCTGCGTGGATTTTTATCATAGTATGGGACTTCACAGGTCCACCCAGCCTAAAATGGGTACCAGGATGTAAGTCATGGGGAAGTAAAGACGGTTGGAGTAATGCTGACCACATTATCCACCTAGCGCCGATTGGTCTGTAAAAAAAAAAATATGGGTGCTATTCCCAAAAGCCCAGTGCGCATAAAAGCGTGAGAAGGGATCTTTACTTTACTTTTATTAATTTGCAAATGACAAACACGAACTTTGCTCCGAGGTAGACCCTGCCTTATATGGGTACGAAGTAAAGTCCTGGGAAATAAAGGTGGCCGGCGTTGACCACATCATCCACAGAATGCCGATTGATCTATAAAATACAGATCTAGCTCTGTTTGCTCAATACATCCGAAGGCGCAGGGAAAATGGCAGTTTAACAGTATATGATATGACAATTTAATCGACACAAATGTCTCCCTACACGGAGCATGACCTACTCTAAAGTAGGTCATGCATCGTCACGCAGCAATGCTCTGCAAACAAAACATACTCAGTAATTTATACAAATTATCAAGCGGCAAAACGTTGAAAACAAACAAAGCTTAGCATTCAAAATAAGGGAGAGTAATAAAAATTTTTAAAATAAAGTAAATGTCATTGAAACTGACATGGTGGTAAGTCTGCAATTAACTGGTGCCTGCGCAGAATACATGGAATTAAACTGTGTGACAGAATCACTAATGTTGAACTTTGGTCGATAAGTAAACAAATTCATGTGAATCAAGAGGTGAAGAAAAAAAACCGCTGGCGTTGAAAAAGACACACGCTGAGAAACCATGAGAACAATATATCTAAAATGCTTTTGCCTGCAACCCCAAGAAGAATATAAATCAAAGCATACCAAACACGGAAAAAGGAGCTAGAGAGGGAAGTTTAAAAAAAAAACAGGGAGCCCGGCTCGCTAGCGTAGTTAGTTAAAGCTGACTTCGCGGCGATCGGGTGATGAACTTTGTGGTCCGGGTTCACGCCCGGGGTTAGGCAGAAAAGCCACATTTCTCTCAGATTTACGGTATCTGTCATGGAATCAAGGCCGAATGGTTGCGATATCCATAATACCGAGCCAAAGGGTTAACAACTTATGGCTTCTGGATACTAAAAAAACTATAAAAAAAAAAAAAAGACAAGGATGACAATTGGAAATGATAGCACGATTTGGCATGATCTAGTTGAAAGCCTATGCTCCATTGAGGGATACAGGACAGAACAAGAAGTGAATCTGCACTTGCCCTGTTGAAGGTTCGGGTTGTTCGTCCACTTCTAGGCTTTCGTCTTTCGAACTTGAATTTTGCGTGCACATCCGTTTTGCAGATCTGGCTTGTGTATGCAGACTGTTGGATCAAATAGATGCACTTTGACTTCGAGGGAAACATTCCTAATCAGACGACTCTTACGACAGGCCGATTCTCTACCATTCTGCATTAGTGTCCACACTATCGTAACTGTGACTGATCCACGTCTAAGACTAGTGTTTAAAGGTCATAATGTACTGTCTGATGGCATACTTTGTCCCTTTTTGTCACGCTGATCACATTTTAACACTAAACCCGAAACCAGTTATACAGATAAATAAAGAGCAACATATGAAATATCTTGGTGATCTGACCAGAATGCCCTGGTATATACTGTCATACAGAGTCACACTGAAAAAAAGAAGAATGGACACAGACCAAGAGGGAGGTAACGCAGAGTAAGAAACGATAGCATTAAGAACAGTCTAAAGGAAATGAAGACTAACTTATATATCACGTTAGAAACTGAACAAAGCAAATCCCTACATCCACCCCTCCCCGTTTGCAAACACACATAAGTACGCACTCGAGCACACACAAAGATAGAGAGTGAGTGATAGAGACAGTGAAGTAATTGAAGGAAGCGAAGAAAAAGAGGAAGAAGAAGAAGAAGAAGATAACTTATCACGCAGTCTGTCTTTAGGAAGATCTTGGATACCATTATTTTGTCTTAGGAAATATGGATATATTTAAATCCTTGTTCATGTGATGCAACGTTGAACCGTGGCTATTGACGGCCCCGGTTGAACCCTTTCTTGTAGCTCTTCTGTCATTTATCTCCTGCATGATTTCTATTGTCAGTGTTGTTGTTCGTCTAACACATTTGATAAAGACAATCTTCAATCCCGATTTAACAATGAGCACCGACTTAGAGTATGAAGATGACCAATTAGTCCAGTTTTAGCGCGGAAAGTTCTCAGGCAGTGTCGACAACAGATGGAAGCAACAGCTGAGGTGGGATTTGCAACATGGTTCTTTCTGGTCTGGCTCCGTCTCTCTTCCAGTGCAACATCCACTGCTTGGGAGGCTGATCCGCCATGTGTCAGGTCTGTACGCCATCCTGATCGGTCTTGTGCAACAGCCTCCCATGTTTATGTTGGTATGCTAAACGATTTGAGAGCCGTCTTAAGCGTGTCCTGTCATAAGATCATTTCAGTGGGTCATATATTAAATAAAGGGACTCAGTTGGAGTTCAATTATGCCAACTAACAAGTGCACTTATATACAGTTATTAAGATCCTCAAACATAAGTATGAGCGCCAAGAAACATAATATAAACAGTATATTCATACAAACACATTGCTGCCAGACTTGGACAGTAAGTATGCCAGGTTAACCTACAACAAATTAACACCTGTGGCATGAGATGCTTGAGAAAAGCCGCCAACTTCATCATCCGAGACAAAGTTAGAAATATTTTCAGACAGACTGTAAGAACAACACCATGCAGCAAATTCAGTAAGAAACTGAGGATCAAATGGTTTGGTCCTTCACTAAGAATGCAGCCAAAACAACTACCAATACAGGCGCTACCCATTAACAATCTTAAGTGAAATCAAGAGGCCGCCCTAGGAGAAGATGAACTGATGACATTAAAGAGCTTCTATATCAACATGGAATAATGATAGCCATTGCTGCCTATCAAGCAATAGATGGCAAACTGTTCCTCCCCACAACGCTTAACGACAGAAGTGGAAACTGATGATGTTAAGTTGGTTTTCACAGTTCTTGCAATAATTTCCAGCACCGTTTAGCACTGTTGCGACATCCGTGTAAGAGACATTACATGGTGCGACTCCGCAAGATTGGCTAATGTCGCCAATCGCCATTGGCGAGATGCTAGCCGAGAATCGCCATAACATCCATCACT